GTCGTATCTGACTACTCTTCCACTGACTGCAGTTCAGACGAGGTCAAAGATGAGTTTTACAGAAAGCTAACGGACCTCCTACAAAACGTTAAGCGCTCTGATGTAGTAATGATGGCTGGTGACTTCAATGCTCAAGTAGGTAGACTAAGTGAAAAGGAAAGACACTCGGGTGGATCGTATGGTGTTGTGGCTCAGAGAACAGATAATGGCATCTACCGAACTGATGGATGCTCGAAAACTCATCCCACCTAGCTCTGAACATGACGAAGAGCGAAGTCAGCTTAAGCACAGGCTGATAAAAAGCCTACGCAATGATCGCGAATAGTGACGGGTAGCGGAGGCAAGGGAGATGAAAAAGGCGATAGACAACAGCAGATAGTTGTTCCAACTTATCAAGGAAACTAGTATTAGGAACCCGAATGTAAATGAAACTATTTTGGGAAAAGACGGTCTTATGGTTTATTCTCAATCCAGGAGATTGGATCGATGGGCAGAATTTCAGGGATCAGTTCAACTGGCCTTTCTCCACTCTTCGGTTACCCACGATCTCCAGTCATCCTGAATGGCAAATCAACGTAAGCCCTCCGAATCTTTATGAAGTTGAGAAAGCGGTAGGAAATTTGAAGCAAGGGCGAGCAGCGGGTCCTGATAGATTCATCCCTGAGATATTTAAGGATGGTAGTCCAGTCTTAGCAGTTAGATTGACTGAGATCTTAGGTAGAATCTGGTAACTGGACAGAATCCCATCCGACTAGTTTCAATCCCTGATTGTCCCAATCTAATCAACATTATAAAATCTCTCTAATCTAACACTACAGGTCGAGTTAGAGCTTACGGCAAACTGTCGTCGGAATGGGTTACTTCAAGTGGTGTCGGTCAGGGCTGTCCATTCTCTCCATTCTTGTTTAATTTTGTGATAGACATGCTTCTATATATAACATTATCTTCGTCTGAATTTTCAGGAGTATACCTTCTACCAGGAGACACGATTGTTTACATAGAATATGATGATGACATAGTTCTATTTGGTGAAGACGCTGACAAAATAGAGTCTCCCAACAGACAGACAGACAGGCAGATACAAGGCAGAACTTCGTACGTAAGTACGTCAGTTCAGGTTGCCATACCATATCAGCACAGAGACGTAACTGTCAGTTCAAATCCAAGAGTGATAGCAATAATAGAAGTATTAGCAGTAATGGAGAAGATTAGGGAGCGAAGATATTATTCAAGAAGTACAATTCATTGAGATAAGGTTAGAAAGACAAAGGTAGTGGTGCTGACCAATCCAGAAGATTAAGATTTGAGAGAGCACAACGAGTGGATGCACTTGCGCCATTCCAAACGATTTTGAGCCATGTCGTTCAAGGTCTCTAACCATTGGTGACTTTCGTCTCGCGGACTCCAACCAGGTAGCCTATATCTACCAACATGACTCAGTCCACTTGTCAGTGACTTCATGGATTTGTGCCATGTTTTGGTTTGGCCGCCCCTAGCTTTCTTCCAACCTATTCCTACACCACAAAACATAGCTCGTCGCGGCAGTTCGTAACAAATGTCTCAACCACCTCAACTGATGAAGTTTCGCCAGTTCATCTATTGATTTGCAATCTCTACATAGACCTCGTTTCCTAACGATAGAATTGCTTACTTGGTTGTCCCACGATATACGAGCAATGATTCTAAGACAACTATGATCGAATACTAGTAACCTACGAACATCTTCTCTTAACGGCCATGTTACACTGCCATATAGTAGAACAGAGCGAACTTCTGCTCAGTACACTCGTCCTTTGGTTAGCAAGCGGATATCTCACCTGCGCCATAAGTGACGCAGGTTGTCAAAAGCCGATCGAGCCTTCTGTGTCCGAGCTGAGATCCCGACTACATTAAGCAACCATGCAAGCATGTTCGGAATGCAGTTTTCCCCCTCGAAACGCAATGCTTCAGGATTGGCTTGTGACTTCACCGGAACTAATGATAGGGAGTGAAGTAGTCGAACGTGTAGACCGCTCCACGTATCTTCGGGGTCTCATCAGTGCTGATGGCCTGATGACTGACGAAATTTCAGTACGGATACGGAAGGTTCGACTGGCTTTTGCCAACCTGCATCACTTATGGCTTACTCGAGATATCCGTCTGCTAATCAAAAGACGGTTCTACCGTACAACAGTTCGCTCCGTCATACTTTATGACTGTAAAACATGGCCGGTATGAGTAGAATATATTCGTAGGTTGCTTGTTTTCTATCACAGGTTTCTCCGAAGCTTTGCTCGTTCATCATGGGACAACCGAATAAGCAATGCTGCCAATAGGAAACGAGTAATAGGTAGGGATGGTAGATCATTTGATGAAATATTGAAACTTTATCATTTGAGGTGGTTGGCACATTTTACGTGTTCCCAACCAGTCACTGCCTCAACGAGCTATGTTTTGTGGTGTAGGAATAGGTCAGAAGTGAGCAAAGGGCGGTTGGACCAAAGCATGGGGCATATCTATGAATTCACTGACACGTGGATTGAGTCGTGTTGGTAAGTACCTGGGTGGGATCCGCGAGATGATAGTAATCGATGGTTAGTGATTTGAATGACATGGCTCAAAAAAACGTTTGCGACGACGCAGGTGCATGCATTCTGTCTGTCTGTCCCGTCAAATTCTAACCTTGTGAATTCTTCATTACCTTTATCTTTTTAAGTTTATTCCACTGGATTATACTTGTTGAATAATATGTTCGAACCCTAATCTCTCCTATTACAGCCAATACTTCTACTACCTGTACGACTACGAGATGTGAATTGACAAATGTAATGTGGTATGCCAATTTGTACTGATGTATGTATGTATGTATGGACGAAGTTCTACGTTGTAAGTGACTGTACTTTGCATTTCATTGACCGATTGAAGAGAATTTAAAAAAAAAATCTATAGTTGCTAAAATACGGACGCATAATTTTGGATAAATTTTCATACTACTTTTTTTAACGGAGCAATGAATAACTAAATTATTCAATTTCCATTCAGTTATTCTTAGGTTGAAAAATAATTTCGACAACACTACCAAAATAGTGCCATAAGGGGATTCTAAACCGGTTACATAAATGTACCTGACTGACAAAGTAAATAATCGCTAGATTCAGCGTTGAAATATAGGCGACGAATTTGAATAAATTGCCGGACACCACATCACCAAACAGTTTTCACTAAACCAATGAAACTGAGCTAATTAATGAACTTGTTTTGCTGCCATTTTACAGTTAAACGAATCGGGCTACTCTTAATAATAATAAGTAGTATGTTTAAATATACTTCATTTTTAGGGCATTTGGACGGTGTTAAGGTGGCTTGTAAAAATATATCTGTCATAAAAACTAATTATATTATCTGGGATCTTCAAATCAAAATAGGTAGAGAAGAGTTTGCACCTGTAACCTTATGGCTAAGATTAATTTTATCATTACATCAAAGTGTACACGATTAAGGAAGCCGTTTTTAAGTATGTGAGATAAGTTTATTCATTTAAAACACTCCACCAAACCAGATAGAAATCCTATAATTATTAAGCCTGACAATAATTACACCAAGTGCTCTGGTACGGTTGAGAAATGTCTTTACCTCTAGAAATGTTCTGACACGGCTATGCGCATGTATGAAATGGAATGGAAGAAAAGCTGATGTCCGGCGCCTAAACCGAATTAGCGTCTAAGGAGAATCTACTAATGGCAGTTGGGGAATCTTCATTCCAAAAAAAGTGGTGCGCATGAGCTTCATAATGCTAACAGAACAAATGATGAATGAACTTATTACTGACTATCTGATATTATGTTACTGAATCTCCTAACA